TGTTCAAATCCTACGGTCATCCTTGACTCCGTATATGATGTTATTTAAATCTTTTAAAATATACATATGATTTTTAGATAATCTAATTATATAGATTTTAATATTTGATATTTATTGAATAATAATTTCAACCCAATTGTTGTCTCCAAAAAAGAACATTTGTTGAAAATATACATATGGTCCCCGGTTAACCATTCTAGATAGACTTAGTATGAGAGATAGGCTTTTAAGAACAAACATTTTGGTTGATTCTAATTGTGTGATTTGTAGTAATGTTTTAGAGACCAAAGATCATTTGTTTTTTAATTGTCTATTTTCGCATTGCGTTTGGGGAGAGGTTTTGAGATTTTGTGGTTTGAGAAGAAATGTTACATATTGAAAACGGAAACTGGCCTGGACTGCTTCTTGTTGGAAGGGGAAGTCCTTGTTGGTTCTCATTTTAAAACTTAGTTGGTATTCTCATATGTACTATGTTTGGGAAGAGATGAATTTTCGCCTATTCAGGGATAGATCTCGGACTGTGAAGGAGATTACGGAGGCTATAGAACAAGTTGTTAGGGTGAAAGTTAACATCAATCAGTTTAATTGCTCGGACATTGTAAATAATAGGCTTTGTATAGTATGGATTATTCCCTAACTTTTGTTGGCGATCCATTTACTTTATAACTTCGTAGAGCAGTCTTTTACCTCTTGGATGATACAATTGAAACTTACAAAAAATAATTGTTGTCTCCAAGCTTCTAATTCAATGCTTACCTCCCCGCACTTTAAATTAGAAGCAAGTAAAATTCAATTTTATTTGTTTTAATTCATAATTTTATAAACATAATTTAATATTAAAAAAATCAGATTCAAATCGAGTTATAAAATAAAACTTGAATAATTCAAATTTTTTCGTAATTAATGGATTTTTTTTAAGTTCAAGTATCTTAACTAGTAGCAGAGCCACTTTTATGTGAAGCTGGACGCATATCTACTCTAGAATCCAAATTTTCCCTTAATAATTATCTATTTTTTATTATGTTTACCTTAATTTTATTTATGTTCATCTCGCATATAAAATTTTGAGTTATTAATATATGAGTACCCACCCTCAAAAGTATTTTTGGACTGTCATTATCCTCAACTCTATATGATATATGTATATCATATATGAAAAAATATGAAGAACTATACATGTATATCATATATGGTTATAAAAAATTATTTTAATTAAATCAATTAATACCATAATATTATAAATATTTAAAATTAAATTTAAATAGAAATTCAAACAACTCGATTCAACTAAAAAAAATTCAAATAAAATTTGAATTATAAAATATAAGTCATCAAATTGATTAATTAAAAATCTTTTAACTCGATTAAATGCTCACCCATACTCAAAACGAATCTATAACCTCAGAGTTGCTAAGGACCCACTTTTCGACTTACCGTTGAATTCAGTTAACCATAACTCCCAAGCTTCAAACATTTTATACTTTTCTAATTTTCTCACATTCAAAATAGATTCAGTTATTGTCAACGGCTCATATTTACTTGCTTATCATAAACCTTCCCGCACTTTATAATCTTGGGCTTTGCTTTAAATATGCGTCTTTTTGGTCACTCTTTTATCAGCCACTGTCTATCTTTTCTTTGTAATGGATGCCTCCTTTTCTTCTTTGTGGCTTCTCCAAATCTTAATCTTGACGACTCTATTTACAGTACACGCTCAGCTCCCAGGCGCGTGGGAACTCCTCGTTCCAAACGCCGGTGTAGCTTCCATGCACACGGCGGTGACTCGCTTCAACACAGTTGTTCTTTTGGACCGTACCAACATCGGACCTTCCCGCAAAATGCTACCAAAAGGCCACTGTCGTTACGACCGAAACGACGTCCTGCTCAAAAAGGACTGTTACGCTCATTCCGTTCTGTTCGATCTAAAAACAAATCAAATCCGACCGTTGATGATCCTCACCGACACCTGGTGCTCATCGGGACAGTTCCTCCCCGACGGGACGCTTTTACAAACCGGAGGCGACTTGGACGGGCTTAAAAAGATCCGGAAATTCGAACCGTGTGAACCGGACATGTTTTGCGATTGGGTGGAGCTCAAAGCGTGGAGTTAGTTAATGGAAGGTGGTACGCAACGAACCAAATATTACCCGACGGAACGGTGATTATCATCGGCGGGAGAGGAACGAACACCGTTGAATATTATCCGCCGAGGAAAAACAAAAATGGCGCCGTCGAACTGAAATTCTTGGCTGATGTAGAAGATAATCAGATGGATAATTTATACCCTTACGTTCACCTTCTCCCCAATGGTCACCTTTTCGTTTTCGCCAATAACAAAGCAGTGATGTATGACCACGAAGATAATAAAGTCATTCGTGAATACCCAAATTATTAGGGGGTCCACGGAATTATCCCTCAGCTGGATCGTCGGTGATGCTGGCACTCGTCGGCGACTTTTCAACCGCCGTGGTTGTTATCTGCGGTGGAGCCCAATATGGAGCTTTCATCGAGAGGAGTACCGATACGCCGGCGCACGGCAGCTGTGGCCGCATTGTAGCGACCGACCCGAACCCGGGTTGGGAAATGGAGGATATGCCATTCGGGCGGATCATGGGAGATATGGTAATGCTTCCCACGGGTGATTCATTGATCATTAATGGAGCTCAAACGGGAACACAAGGCTTCGAGATGGCTTCAAACCCGTGTTTAAACCCAGTTCTTTACCGACCCGATCAACCCGTCGGTTTACGCTTCATGACTTTGAACCCGGGAACGGTTCCCAGAATGTACCATTCAACGGCCAACTTGTTACCCGATGGGCGGGTTTTATTAGCGGGTAGTAACCCGCATTATTTGTATAATTTCGCCGCAGAATTTCCAACGGAATTAAGGCTCGAAGCATTTTCACCGGAGTATTTGTCTCAGGATCGGGCCAATATCCGACCCGAAATCATAGGAATCCCCGACACGGTACGTTACGGCGAGGCTTTTGAAGTTTTTGTATCGGTTTTGTTGCCGGTTGTCGGAATTGTGGAGGTTAATTTTGCGAGCGCGCCGTTTGCAACGCATTCATTTTCACAAGGTCAACGGTTGGTAAAACTTACCGTTACCCCATCGGTTCCAGATAATGGTCGGTATATAATTAAGTGTACGGCGCCGCCAAATGGAGCGGTTGCTCCACCCGGCTATTATATGGCCTTTGCAGTTAACCAGGGCGTGCCAAGCGTCGCACGTTGGGTTCATTTGGTTGCCTAAATTGTTTAATTTTAAAACAATTTTCTAATACATAATATTCTCATAATAATCCAGCTTCCCGTTAAACTGTTTAAATCTATAATTTTTTTCCATGAATCAACTAATCTTAATTATTAAAGAAATCATTATTGTTTTTTTGAGGTTGTAGGTTTAAAGATCAACGATTACAAAAGTGATTGAACGTTTATTGTTAAATGGTTAAAAATATTTAGAATATATTATTTTTGTAATCATCTTAGTTTAATAAAAAAAACTATAATTTCCGTCGTACATCTTCCCTAAAAATTAAAGAGTGTGATTAAAAATTCCAATTATACTTAATTCTATAAAATTCATAAATTAAATAATTAATTAAACTATGTATAACAATACGTAACAACGTAACTGTTTATCCATAAATATAATCTAAGTTTACAAATTATACTTAGGTTTTTATTAAAAGATAATTCTAAGTTTATTATTAAAATTTTACTTATTCCTTTAAAAGAACCTTCTTAGGTTGAATATAAAAAGCTTAATTATTATTATTATTGTTGTTGTTGTTTTGAAATGCTGTCAACATCTTAAGACCAACCCTTCCAACTTGTTAGTTAGGCGTTAATGATGATGCCGAAATGTGCAGTTAGCTTAGCTTATACAATTTGTAGGATAAAGATTAGCCATTAAAACCACATTTGATAGTTGTTGAAAATTAATTACTTAAACCCTCTTTCATCATCTTCCTTTCGTGCAAAAGAAGTTGCAATCTCAGAATACGTTAGTGTAAACTATATCTACAACCACTTAATTTTATTAAGATATATTTTTTTGTCATTCAATCCTAAAGCTTAATTAAAAAATAATATTTAAATTATACCATTTTCCCATTTTAGATACTTTGAATATTTTTCGCTCAATTTAGGTCAAAGCGTCACTTGCCTGTCATCATCCTCCCTAATTGGCTATCGTCTTTGTCATCATTCCAAACCCCTAAATCTCTAAACTTAAATCCATATATTTGTAAAATTTCAAATATTCAAATCCTTAATCATCATCAATCGTCCCTTAAGATGATTAAATAGTAGCTAAGAAATTACTTGTGGCTTAAAATTGATTTTACTTAGAAGCAAGGGATTCCGGTGGTTCACACGATGTTGGGGTTTTGGTTGGTCGATGTTGTTGTTGGCGGTCGACAACAGTAAGGAGGATTGAAATTAGGGACTCTGAGTATTTTTAGGGATTTGAGTTCTTTTATAATTTTAGTAAAGTTTGGTTTTTAGAAAAATTAATAATCTTAAGTTTTTTTTAAACATAAAATTTTCAAAAATATATATATAACGTGACATATGTCATACGACGATTTCTTTTAATAATATTGACGGACAAAACACTTAAAATAATAACAAAAAAAATATCAAACATCTATATTGCACGAAAAATACTTTAAATACATAAAGTGAACAAAATATATAATTTAGGCACTTATTTTTTTTTCTTACTTTGGTGAATTGGAACCTTTGTTCTTATAGCATGATGTATATTACAGCCAATCCACCATGAAAATTCCGGAAGAAATACCTGGGAACTGTCGCAAATGTTCCTGCATCACCAATCCTATGGTATTTGAAGCAATCATCTATGTTAACAGCCTTCTCTTACACACCACTTTAGGAATAATTCAATCAACATACAGCAAAAGCCACAGACCATTCTTTCCTTTTTCAGCCTCGCAAGCAATGATTCATCTAAATTCAAAACATTTGTGGCTAAAACATTCATGTTTAACATCCATTATCATTTCCCAAATGGTTAAGGGATCTTTATAACAAAATATAGTTTCAGTTTACTGCACTCCACTCCATTTTGCCCAATCTACAAACTGCATCCCACCATAAATATTGTTTGCAAATCGGACACCGACTGTGAAAGCCATTGCAACCGGTGGAACCTGCTTAGCCAAAGGTGAGGCCTCCACCAACTGTTCCAATCCGTTGATGATCTGATAACGAGTATTCGAGGAAACTGCAAGAAAAACACCTGAAAATAGGAGATGAAATCAGTACATGCATAGTAAAGAAGCAAGATTACCCAAGCAAACAGAAATCCCAATTCCAACCAATAAAATTAGATGACCCTTATTCCCATATGTAATGGGTAAGAGGGAGGTAGGATATAGATTGCCCCCAACGCTAGGTTGAGAACAGCTTCCGTAGGAGACCTCTGAATTATGAAATACCTTCCGTGGGACTCGATCCCACGACCCAAGGTTAAAACCTTGTGCTCTACCAACTGAGCTAGATGTCATTTCAATGCCAACCAATAAACAATCCACATTTTAGTGATAGATCATACGTACCCCAGAGAGCTGCACTCTTCAGAAGAGGTGGCACAGGTATGTCCTCTTCCGACTTTTTCACGCTCCTGAGGGATGGAAAAATATGTATGGTAAGAAATGAGAAAATTCAAGAAAATGATGCATCCTTAAAACCTAGTCATTCCTTCATAATAGCAGCTCAATTTTCCATAAGTAAATCCATATCAGATTAAGTTTTTGTACAAAGCACATGATAAGAAGAGATGGTTGGTTTGAATTCACATCAAAGAAACACAATTTGTTTAATGAAGAAAACATCATATACAGCATAATTATACTTCGTTTTAATCATTAAGATTATCGTAAGATCTCTGTAAAAAGATAAAAATAAAAAATAAAACGAACAAATAGAAGTCAGCAACTGAGAGAAATAAGGATGCATATACCTCTTGGCATCATTATCAAATTTGCGATTCCTTGGCCTATGATGCCACATGCAAATCCAACCGATCCATAAAGGACTCCTGAATTTTTTTTATCATTAATATCTTTCGAACAAAGATGTGCCTAGAAGTTTGTTTCCATATGATAAATTTTACCTTGTAAAAGTATGTACCAATTCTCTGGTTTACCGTAAATCTACAACCAGGTCTTTCCGCTTCAAACACACTGTACAAGATTATAAAGGAAGAGACTAATGAAGAAAGTTTTTATACCTTCAAAGCTGCAAATAACACAAGTACATGACACAAAATATACTAAGAAACAAAGTTAGAAAGTCATGCTGAGTCCATATCTAAGTAATTTCTATTGCTTGTTATGATAACCTGCTAGGGAGAGCTCCATAAGCACGTTGCACACGCCCAAGGAACCCTTTCGATATAGATGGTTGCCCGATACGTACATATGGAGCCAGCATGCCAACTAAAGCAATATTCACCACCACTCCAACCAAAAGATCAGCAAGATACAACTCAAATTCGGCCCAGAAATCCTTGCCCCTCTTTTGAACTTCCGCAAGGGTGGCACAGCAAGAATCAATGACTATCTGCATTACAACAAAGCAATGATGGTAATCAATTTATATGAATCTTGGTAATGGAAACCCCATATTGGGGTTATTCTCAATTTCTCATATACTTTAGATTTTAAAAGATCTAAGCTTTTGCTTCCAACGAGCATCAGAGACTATAATAATAGGAAGTCAAAAACCATTTCTTCAAGTTTCAGCTTATTAACTCATCTTTGGCAATTGACCATGAAAATGGAGACCCGAAGCCGAGTCGCCATGTACTAATCTAAACAGATAATAAAAAGTCATTATAGGATAAAACAATGATGGCAACATGAAAATTGGCAATGCAAACCCCACATTAAAGCACTCTCGAAAACTTTTGTTTTAGTGTTCATAAAGATCTTAAGCTCTGCTTCCAAGGAGCCTGTAATAACCTCAAACTATTTCTTCAAGTTTCAGCTTATCTTTGGCATTTCAACATGAAAATGGAGAACCAAATTATCATTTTCCAATCGGAACAGGTAATACATGAGTCATCATACGAATCCATAGCTAGCAGTACATTATTCGGTATAAGAGTTCATAACAATGTAGGCACAAAGATGATCATTGAACAAACCTCAGTTCCAATCTTGAAAAGAAAAGACGGGTCGGCCAACATCCGGTTTCGAAGCATTCCCCATGACTTCATCGCAAATCCTAGAGGCCAACTTGATCCCTGCAACAAAATAAGCATCAAATACACTTCAATCACAAAATTTACTCAAATTTTAATGCAAAATTTGAACATTCACCCAAAAATCAGCAAACTTTTACTATTATTGATTGATTACTGCAAATCCAAATATCGGAGGAGTAGCAATTTACGAATCCCAGCACTTTTTGCTGCCTCCAACATGTCTGAAGGAAGCGTAGCCCCTCTAGCATTTGACTCCTTCATAACTTCCTCAAATTTCATTATTGGCCCAAACTCTTCCTCTTCTGGATCACCCTTTTCACCGTCACTGCCGGCGCCACCGCTGCCTCCTCCTCCGCCACCGCCATTATTGAACTTGCCATTTCCATCATTCCCGTCAAAAAATCCCCCACTGTTTCCTTCATCGATTTTAGCTTCCTCATCACTTCCCAAAATCCTAACTTCTTCTGTCCTAATACTACTCTCACTACTTTTCTTACTTACTATACTGGTTGCCGCACCAGATTGAGGCTCTACCTCAGGTCGTTGAGACAAGCTTAAAGTTACTGGCTTTGGTTTCTTCTTCACTGAGAAAACAAATCTTCTACTACTATTTCTAACAAAGCTCAAATCGTGACCCCATAACTTCCGTAAAACGGCATCGTTCTTGACATTCACCAAATGTGACAACCCGAAACCCGACATTCTTTTTTCTTTTGTTGTGTCAACAAATAGTTGAAACTGCAAAAAGCTGCAACATTATTAAACACCAAAGACGATTAGCTTATAATACAAAAGAGAAAGTTTGAACAAAAGAAAAGTTAGCAGATTTTAAAAAGAAACAAACCCTTGTTTGTTGGTGGCTGTAAAAACGAATACTTTGAAGGCGGGGACGCGGCGGGGCGTAATAAGAGTTAGAGACGCTCCTTTGATTATTTGATTCCCCCTGAGTTTAGGGATGTAAACGGACGGTCGGGTGCGGATACCTCCTATCTTCATCTCATTCCTATACTCACTTAATATTTTTTAATCACCACCCGTCCACCATCAAGTACAAATTTTAAATCTACACCTGCCCACTCGTGTATATTTTTAAATCCATCCTACACCAATACTACTAGCGACATACTATCTAGACCCGCCTATAGCAAACTAATGGATGTTGGAGTTGATTCCAGACAGTTCGTGATGGGGTAACAGCGCATGTTTCAATTTGTCAGAGGAGTAGCTCTATGAATGTTATGGAGATAAATTGTAGGGAGCATGTAGTCGCAGAGCTGGATTGTTGTGTTGCTTTCGATGTTATGAAAACTGTTGCTTTTGATGTTAATGTTTATAGTACGATTAATTTGTGTTTGGATGGGCAACATGAGCTAAAGAACATGAAAAGTGACGTGGTTAGTGGGATTATGAGTTTAATCAAAGAGTCGAATATTTCCCTAATTAAAGACCAGATTAAAGACTAAATATCTTTAATATTTAGATAAATTATATGTTATATATTATATAATATTAAAATTTATAAATTAGTCTCTAAAATTACACCAAAATTCGTAATGGTCCAAAATTTAATAAATATTTAGTTGGGTGGGCGGATGTGGGGAGGGCGAATGCGGGGCGGGTGGATGCAGGGCGGATGCGGGGCGGGTAATGTCTCAAACCCATTACCCGCCCACCACCCATGACGGTACCACTTTATAAATCCACACCCGTCCACTACCCGCTAAAATTATACCCATCCCCGTTCCAATTAAAACGAATGCAGTACGAAATCTACGAAACTGTACCCGTCTGCCATCCCTAGTTGAGTTGAGGAACCATTGGGACCAAGGATTTGTATGCTCGGTGGGATGTTGAGGCACGTGTGTCTAGGGTTTTGGTAACTTAGCACGTGTGGGGGAGTTCATGCAAGCTTCAAAGTTGGACAAAGATCAAGCTTTCATCACTTTATCATAGTGGTGATCACACTAGCTTAATCCGCTTCCAACTTGGAGAAAATTAAAATTACATTTTAAAATGATAAATAATATTATTTACAATTGAATGACAAATAATACCTTTAGATTTTCAAAACAAATATAATGAAGTACTTAATTTGATTTGGATTGAGTTAATATCAGAGTGTTTTTCATAATAAACTTAAGTTGATTAAAAAAAATTGTTCCTTCTCGGACAAAAGATGACATTCTTTTAAAGAAGTTGGGTGAACAAAGCAAACATCGTAGGAATTTTTTTGATGAATCTTTTATAATAGTAAAAAACTTTGATCTTTATCAATATTCTTCGAAAATTTCTAATTAGGGATTGCTTGAATCTTCTTAAGATCGACTTGGATTCCAGTAAATAACACGATACGACTTAAAATAGGAAGTTCAAATAATAAAAACTCATTTGCTTAGTTTTACACACAATTGCTTCTCTTGAATAGTTTAAAGAACTATTTGAAGGTGCTAATCATAATCATTCTCGATTTTGGAGCATACAAGGATGTCATCAATGAATACTATTATGAACTAATTTAGATAGTGTTAAAAAATTTGATTAATCAAATCCATGAAAAAAATAGAAATAGAAATATACACATGACTGAACAGAATAACTTAGAACTTATAATATCCGTATCAAGTCCTAAATGTGATTTTCGAAATGTAAAACTCTTTCATTTCCATCTAATAATATCTAAATTAAATATTGATATTGAAAAATACTGAAACTCCATTTAACTAATCAAGCAAATCATTGATTCTCGACATTAGATATTTATTTTTTATTGTAGGTCTGTTTAACTATTCTGATTGATATAAAACTTCATCTAACCATTTTTTTATGAACAATATTAGAGCATCTTAAAATGATATATATATCGTACAGAGTCTCGATCTAACAATTCTTGAAGCCTAAACCTAGAATTCAACTAGATTCATTCTATACAAAGCGATTGAGATATAAGTAGATCTTCTAAAGTTGAAAGATGCGCTCTTCCCATATTCTCATCGAAGATCTTTCATAGTTTGGAAAACGTAACAATTGAAAGAACCTTTTTGGGCATATATCTCATGCTTATTAGTCCAATGGCAACTATTTATTCAATACCCAAAATCAAGGAAGGACTTAAACAAGAGATTAACGATTCTTTTCAGAACCCTTTTAACGATTACAGCATAAAGTTGTAGTTTTTAGGTCTGATTAGGAATTAGGATCCTTTCAAATCAACCAAATTTCAGCCTACTGCATGATTTATGAAGAGAAAAATAATTATTTTTAATAGTACGTGTATATTATAAGGTAATATTTATTTAAAATTTTATTAATCAATTGACACATATTCTACTGACGCGGCTGCTAGAACCAAATACCTCTAAAAATAATAATATTATTTTACCACTGATAAACGTAATTTCAGCACTGTCTATGAAATAATGACTATATTGACTTAAGTATATAAAATTATCGCAAACCCTGTTGAATAATTACATTTTTTTAATACTTTGAAATGATTACAACTAGGGACAGATGCAAGATTTTATGTTATAGGTGACAAACTTATAAAATTTTAAAGGGGAGATAAACTTATAAAATTGTAGGGGGCGAAAACATTTTTTCAACTAAAAATACAAAGAAAATATCTATAATATATACAAATTTAAAATTTCTAGGGCGATATCGCCCCCTCCAAGTCCATCCTTGATTACAACATAATATTTGTTCATAGTTTTCTTAATTTATTAATAACGTACACATACTCTGTTGACACATTTGTTCGAACCCCGAATCCTAAAAAAAATAGCATTCCCTTTTATCACCAAAATCACTCAAAAAATATAATAACAATTACGTTAATCATTAACAAAAAACATGAATACAACATAATATAAATATTTGATGTGTTGACACCCGTTTTCATCCTTCTATTATTATTATTATCAATATTATTATTATTATTATTAGTATTATTATAATTATGATTATTAATATTATTTTTTATTTATTTTACACCCCAACATAACCGACCCATAACCCCTTACACCCAAGTTACAACTTAAGAATTGGGCCCAATTACAAGTAACCCAAACTTGGCCCAATACTAACCCTAATTTAGGGTTTCTAACCCCTCTTCACGCAACCGCCTCCCAGCCGTTGGATCTGATTTTAGATCTAATAGTCTAGATGTAACAAAATTAGGGTTTTACCCTAAGTTTCCACCCATCGCCGCCCCACCAAGGGTCTTCTGCTGCCGCCCATCTCCACCAATCAGATCTTCCCCCTTGCTGCACCAACCCCTGACCACCAATGTTACCACCAACCAAGTCCCTTGCCATTATTAGATCACCCAAATCAGCAAGACAACCAACATACACGCAAGCAATGATTTCCTTTTCTAATCATTTGTTTTTTTAAAAGAAAACAAAAAATTAAAAGCTGTAAAAATATGGGTTATAAAACCCGAATGATGTAAAGAGAAAGGGTTCTCCTCTCGATTTTCCAAAAAGAAAAGCAATAAAAAAGGTAGAAACATTGGAAGGTATTTTTTTGGTTTTATTAGTTTCAAACAAAGCAAAAAAAATATTAAAAAGACTTGCATGCAACCGAAAATAAAGAGAAAAGGGTTAGATCTACCTTAGAGTGGGAGTCAAACCGGAGAGGGGTCGATTCGTCTTTGTCGAAGGTCTCTGGAGTGCGAGAAAACTGAAAGGTCGGGGGTTTTAGGGTTGTTTAAGGTCTTTTTAGGAAGTTTTAGCCTTGGATTTAGGATTAGAGAGATAGATCAGGGTTTAAGGAGTGTTTCAAGGTTGATTTAAGGGTTTCGATCACCGTGTGTGGTAATCAGAATGGCGGCCGAAGGTGGAGTAAGGCGGCCGACAGTGGGTCAGTCGAGGGAAAATGAGAGAAAAGTGATAGGGTTTTGATTTTTTTTAAGTTTCGGTTTAAAATGAGAAAAAATGGAAAGTTGTATTAATAGAAAAAGTTAGAGGGAAATCACACTTAGGTTCCCTTACTTGCACGTGTTTTTACAAAATAGCACCTATAGGGGCAGGTTCTGTAATTTACCCTTTTCCATATAAGCTTTGTAATTTTTGGTTTAATTGCTATTTAGTCCCCTTAACCTTAGCGTGTTTTTTCATATTAGTCATCTGTAGGGACCGATTTAGTAATTTACCCATTTTTGTGCATGTTATATATTTTTAAGGTTATTTGCGTTTTAATCCTCTATGTTTAATGTGTTTTTACATTTTAGTCATGTATAGTGATGATTTAATTTTTTTTAAATACTTATGGATTGTTTAGGCAATTTACCCATTTTTATTTTAATGCATGTTTTAGGCTTATAAAAAATAAAAAATTAGGAAATAGTCCCTATAGTTTTTGCATGTTTATATTTCGAACTGTAATATGTTTTTCATTTAATTTAATTTGGCCATGCAATTTTATTTTATTTTAATTTGGTCCTCATGTTTTATTTATTTTTATTCTTTGTACTTTTAGCACTCAATATTAAAAATGCTCATTTTAGTCACTTTTGCATTTTATTTTGTTTTAACTTTTGACATGATGTTTTGTTTGTTTATATGTTACCCTATTTTCATTTTATTTTATTTTAATTTTTGCATGTTGCTTGCACGTTATTTCATTTTAGCCATTAATTAATTTTGCATGATACCCTCATAAGTATTTCTTGACTCGAATCAAAATAATTTGACTAAGGGTAATATTCGTTCATGTTAATATTGTCATAAAGTGACTGCCTTAACATATAAGAAAGTTACTTTCAATAATCTTAAAATGAAAGTCCATCCCACTTACTGACACAAATTAAATTGAGTCCATTTTAAAATTTGGGGATTGGGAAAAATATCATGTTCTTTTAAATAAATTCACCAAGAAACGATTGTTAGATCGAATCTACTCTCTCGTCTCAATGTATTTAAATAAT